CCCCCCCCCCCCCCCCAATCAAAGTTACTCTTTCCGTGTCCTAATAATGGAAATAGATTATAAACGACCCCGTCAGAAACTCGGAGTACTCAAGCACTGTTCTTATCAGTTTGTTCGGAAAATGATTGGTTCATTGGCCTTTGTGGTTGGCCTAATCTAGATGAGACTGAAAACAATCACGGTATATTGATATCACACGCGATATCAATCGTGTCCAAATTAGGATAGAAGATTGAATCCTAAGTCCAAATCATCAATGCCCTTATACATACTAGAGATAGATAGTGCAAGTTTGTTAAAATCATAAACATTAAATAGTCGTCGTTATGCTTAGGAATCAGGCAGACTTTTAAAAAGACATCAACAAAGTATAAGATCTATGACGCGAAGATTTGAATCTGATGAAATGTTTAATGGAATTCAATGGTTGAAGGACTCATTCTTGTTTTTGTTTTTTTTCACAGATAAATTAATCATACCAAATTTTGAATCATCGCAGACCTTTTTTTCCGATAGAAATATTCTGCTAATATTAACAGCGATCTACTTGTATGTATCTCGTGGGTGTGTCCTTTGTGTTCTGCTTTTTGGTTGTGTAAAAATATCATCATTTATTTTATTTTATTTTATTTTAGTTTAGTTTATTTTATCCTATTTTATTTTATTTTGCCTAATCCTATTTCATTTTATTTTATTTTTGTAATTTCACTTTTTATCTTTCATTTCATCGTTATCCCCTCCAAGACTTGTGATGAATAATTGGTGTCAATATAATTACTACTTTCAGTTAGCGAGGAGCTGTGACTGGTAATGCCATCATACGGGACATTAATATCCGGGAGCTACTCAACACAAGGTGATCCAGGGATAAAACCCGGGACTGGGATAAGCCACGAAAAAACGAATAGAAAATTGGTCTTAACGTTTAGGCTTAAGTTTAGGATGGATTCGCCTTAATCCACTTCAGTGTAGTAAGTATTAATCTCAAATATTAGCCTTGTTCTTTCTTGTTATTAAACAGGTGCGATATTTCATTTAGTTAAACTATTTGTACCATGTGTTATCGTTTTATCTTGGGTCAATGTAGACTAAGGGACCATTCCCAGACCCTATCGTACTAACTTTGGATTGATCTATCTCCTAGGGGATTCTCGCTAAATTGCAATCATCTTAAGCGGCTTAGATGTCTCTCACGCCGACTGAGCTGATAGGAGGTAATTAACTATTGTTTAGCAGCTTTAGTAGGCATGTTAGACATCTAAGCCGCTTAAGCTGAAAGCAATTTAGCGTGAAACCCCTTGGGGATGGATCGATCCTGTTAGATCGATCTAGGTATTGGAACCCAGTCTAAAATGCCCCACCCTCCTCCCTCCTCCCGTCTCTCTCTCTCTCTCTCTCTCTCTCTCTCTCTCTCACAGACACACACACACACACACACACATTGACAGGCATGTGCAATTGATATTTTTTCCTAATCCCATCACATGTGCACTTGTTGTGAGTGCGTATTTATTTGTCCTATCTTTGTTTACTGATCTACATAGCAAAATATTTGAATCGCAATCAGCTGACTTATTAAACCTTATTTTGGGCTCTATCAAAAAAATGTTCTTACATGAGCTGCCAACTTGGTAAAAAGCCATTTGGCAGATAACTGTGTCATTGAACCTTTGAATTAATCATGCGGCATCAATATTTATGACTGAATCATTTCTCTTGATTTAGGCCTCACACGTATCTAGGGAATGTCATGTTTCGTTCTTGATTTTGTTCTTTTGTGTACTTTTGTATACTGTTCGGCAAGTCGTTCGTAATCAAAGGCAAATAAGTACTGATAAGTTGCCCCTTTTTTTGTAAATAATATTCTTATTTTTATAAAAGTTTATCTGACCCTTTTCTCTACCAATAAACCTGATTGCATTGATGCACTTTTGTTTCGCATTTCAAACAATCAGTATTTTACTTCAGCTGTGTTGTGATTCTTAAGTTGATTCTTAGGGTGCTTTCCCAGAGATTTAGATCGATCTAAAGATTAAGATTTAGATCGACCTAACTCCCTGGGGGTTCACGCTAAATTGCAGTCAGCCGAGCGGGCACCATAGTTAATTACCCCCTTACAGCTTTTAGTAGGCGGGACAGACGCTTAAGCCGGCCAATCTGACAGTAATCTAGTGAGACTCCCCACAGGGATAGATCGATCTAAAAATCTATGGAAATGGGGTGTTAGAGCAAGCATGCGAAATCTTGTTAGAGCTTTTATGTCATTAGTTAAAAGATTGTATGACATCACATGGGCATATGACGTCATACTTTTCGTATTTACGCTTATTTACAATATCCTAAAGCAGGTTCATTGTTTAAATGTTGCACTACCTGTCATCACAGTGACCTCGCATTGTTAATTGACTTTATTCAACCTTTAGTATATGTGTACTGATGCAGTTTGAACAAACATATGTTTTTTCATTCTTTATTCCACAGCTGGGTATAATACGAGAGACCAAATCTTCCTTTCATGTATCCTTAATCCAAGGGTCAGCGCCATTTTTATCTTTCTGATCGATGGACCACGTGTTCGCCTTTGTGTTTAGGTACAGTAGCTTCTGAGAAATGATGTTGAGGATGTTTTTTAGGGGAGAAAACGAGGAGAGGTGCAGGTTATAATTTTAAAAGGAATAAAACGCCAAATGCAACAAATGCCCCCGAGAGATGCAAACGGTCTATAATTTACAATCAGCCACTATTTATTCAACTATACATATATATTGATACCACTAATAATGTGCCAGTTGCAATTTAAGTACACTCTTTTTATTCATTTTTTCGGTGAAATGCGGGCACTTAAACTCCGTTCACATGAAAAATCTATTTTCTAAAAATCTATTTTCTATTCGCGGTGTATCACTCAGGCGACTGTGTATTATCTCACACATAATTCGGCTCTTATTTGTTTGATTTGATTAATAATTGTTTTATAATAATGAGAATTCAATTTCCTTGCCGGAGGCCTGCGATCTCTGAGTGCTTGACAAGAGTGCGGTGTTTTTCGTATTTTTTGTTTTTGCAAATTCAGTACTAGAGTTTTTTTTCTCCTTTTTTGTCTTGTATGGAAGTTCTTAGAGGCATCGATCATCTAAATTACCTTTTGTCTATCAATTTGCTCTGATAACTTAGGCGCGTTAGCAAATTGGTTTTGCCAAAGGCGCACAATGAGCCTTCGACCTCTAAATTGCAAAAATGTAACTTTCTTCGAAATGTCAATATATTTTCCCCGTAATCACCTCTGTTTACCGTTGAGAAAATCTTTAAGCCTGTTGACAATTTTAAGTGTATAATTTTTCAGCCACTCTTTGTACTGGGGATGGTGATTGGTGTATTATTGTCTTCAATTCAAAAAAGAAAAATTGAGTTGGGATTTGCCATAGTGATAAAGGAAACTTGCTGCTTTTCTAAGAAAACTTATTTTTTGGTATAATTATTTGGTATGTAAAAGTATATCGCTTATTGTATGGCTTGAAGATTATATATTATACATCAGCCAAATAGTAACTTAGTCATTGGTTATTTTTAGATCTTTTAAGAATATCATCATTTGCCTGTTATCAAACTGAAACGAATGAAACGTTTGAAACGAATGAAACGTTTTGTTTGCCTTAGTATCGAGTAGTAATGATATGAAATAATACAATGATTTCCTCTCCATCTACTGAATACAATGATGTGTTATTGAATGAATAGATAAATAAACAGATAGAAGATCTCTATGTAAATAAATAAAAAGATGTAAAAGATAGGTGCTCTAATTAATACATACATGAATAATCCAGTAAATTGCCAAATATTTATTAATAAAAGATAAAATAAGTAAAGAAATTGATGACTAGATTAATATCAAGTAAACATACAAACAAATTCCTCTCATTCAAAAAAAAAAAAAAAAAAAACGAATTAGCATGAAAAAAATTGTTGTTTAAAACTCTCTTATCTATAATGAGCATAATTTTCCCTAAGTCATCCCACGAGTTCATTTGTGACCGCCATGTTCTTATTCTCTTAACCATGTCATAGCTGTTTGTAATCAACATCCGATCTCTTTGTTCTCATGCGCTGTTGACTTAACAGACACTACTAAACTTTCTTTCGCGCCAGAACACGTATTCTTCGCCAATCCTCAAATATCAGCGGCATTTTTCGTTTCGGGTCGCACGTTGCTTATGTTTACCGGTTACGAGAACTTTTCCACTCGGGATTGAGTTTCATGATAATCTGCTACACCAGAAATGCGTTAAACTTGAATCATAGGCGAGGAGGGAAGGTAAGATTTAATTGATGTTGGTTGATTGTAGATTTTCTTTTCTAAATACTACTAAATGTGTTTTATACCAGGTGTATATTGATTGTAAGAAACCACATTAGTTTGCTTCAGATAAATATAAAGCTATAAATGTTCGCAGCATCATTTCCAGGCAATCCTGTTGAGGTGAAAGTGAATTCTTTTTAATGCCTTACCGTTATGTTTTCTTTCACAAAAGAAAAATTTACTCGTCAACCTAACGACGAAGTTGTACCGTTTTCTAGGTGCTTATATGATAGCTATAATTATGCTGACTTATTCTATTTCTTTCGGTGCGCGTCGCATTTTGTTTTAAAATTAGTTTGCAAAATGATTAAGATTCTGCGGAGCATGATATAAATGTTTCTTTCTTTGCAAATATGGAATAGTAAAAAACGGTAGCTTTATTATAATGCCGGACGGTGGACAAGGTTTTTTAAATTTTTTAAAGCTAAGGGGGGGGGGGGGGGGGGGGCAAGCCACCCGCCACCTTTGGTCCGCCATGTCTCGTCTGTGTAAGGCTGAAGCGAGGGGGTTCTGTTTTTCATATTCTGTACGCTTCTATACGCTCGGGTGAGGGCAGCCGTTAAGATATTATTTTTCCATTTGGGAACATTCACAGGTCGGGGTGAAGTATCAGAAGTACGGATGCCCATCCTTGACATGTAGAACACACACATAACGATCGTAGACGTGTGTAGAAAACAGAAAACATGGAAGATTATGCTCCTTTCCTCTTTAGTTTGCCTTTGAGTGTAGCGACCAGTTGGCTGTACAACATCACTCACCTCTTCTTACTACCTGGCTCTACACATCTTCCCCAATGATAATTAATTTTCAGAAAAAAATGATACATTTTAAAATGTATTTTGCCAGTGTAGGAAACTCTCTCTCTCTCTCTCTCTCTCTCTCTCTCTCTCTCTCATACCGCAATGTACAGGCAACGTGAACATGATCTACGACTTCTGTTCCTTTTAATAACGCACCTGGACTTGTTTATGTCTCAGAATAGTGTTATTAACATTTAAGATGTTACTCTAAACGCCTATTAACATTTGACTTTAAGTGACACTCTGAAAAGAAAGAAATATTGATAGCTTCTGGTAAATAGTCCAGAGAGAGAGAGAGAGAGAGAGAGAGAAAGAGAGAGAGATAAAAGAGAGAGAGAGAGAGAGAGAGAGAGAAAGAGAGATAAAAGAGAGAGAGAGATATAGAGAGAGAGATAAAAGAGAGAGAGAGAGAGAGAGAGATAAAAGAGAGAGAGAGAAAGGGGATACACTACTGATTTTCTTTCGCAAGAGAAAATGAAGGGGAGGGAAAGAGATAGAAAAGGAGAGAGAGAGAGAGAGAGAGAGAGAGAGAGAGAGAGAGAGCGAAGAAGACAAGGGTAAAAGCAGAGAGAGAGAGAGAGAGAGAGGGAGCTTACAATTTAAAGAACGCCAAATTTCTTTCCGTTGCAAGAGAAAACAGTGGAATATTAACTCAAATTTGCACATAAATGTTTGCGTATCGACATACCGTACATTTATTTATAAATCACATTAAGGTTTTGAGAAGGCAATCCTTGTTCATTAATTTCTAAACTCAGTAAATGAGTTTCGGTAATGGGTAGACGTGAACACACATACTTTTCAGCATTATCATCAGCTTTTATTTCGTTCTTAGAATCTGTTCCAATTTCACTTCGACGGAAAGGCAAACGAGCAACAAGGCCATCATCTTAGAGCGCATTCCCAGAGATTTAGATCGATCCAACTAGTAGATCGATCTGGGGGTTCAAGCTAAATTGCTGTCAGCCGAGCGTTTACGGTAGTTAATTACCCCCTTTCAGCTTTTAGTAGGCGGGACAGACATTTAAGCCCGCTAAGATGACAGTAATCTACTGAGACTCCCCACTGGGATAAATCGATCTAAAATCTGTGGGAATGGGGTCTTAGAAGGGGGGGGGGTTGTTATGATACCCTTTGTATACTACAATTCTTTTCAATTTGTATACTACAGATGGCCCCGTACATAATAAAAATATCTCTAACCCGAGTCGCCTAGGAAGGAAGTTTTAAGTCCGGAGTTGTGGTGGGGTGGTACATGTATTCATAAAATATGTAAATTAAGCAAATATCAACAACAGTGTAAAGCTAGCGGTAAAAATACGTGCTAAAAGATGGCCATTCGTACATTATCTCGACCCAGGCATATGAGAAGCCACGTAAAAGCGTGCATGTTTGACTCAATTTGAGTTATCTGTGGCATTGGTAAATGAAATAACATGATAGTAACCTATGGCCTCTGTGCTCTGTGCTTATGAGTGACGAGGTTGAAAAAAGTGTGCGTGTGTTTGTGTGTGTGTGTGTGGGGGGGGGTGGCTAAGGGCGCGTTCACAACCAAATATGGTGAGCACTTGACATTGGATTCAAGCACCCCCCCCCCCCACGCGCACCGTCCCAGCAGGGACAGAGCAATCAAATCTCGACATGCTCTCAAGTGGGTCGCGTCATATTTAATCATTCCGCGTATCAACTAGTTGTGAACGCGGACTATTTCTCCCTGGCCTCTCTCTTAGCTTTTAAGCCTGTGAACCGCAAGACTATGACTGGGTTCCCATACCTAGATCGATCTAACAGGATCGATCCATCTCCGAGGGGTTTCTCACTAAATTACCTTCAGCTTAAGCGGCTTAGATGTCTGACACGCCTACTGAAGCTGCTAGTTAATTAGTTCATTCCCCCTAGCAGCTTAAGTAGGTGTGACAGACGCCAAAGCCACTTAAGTCAATTGCAATTTAGCGAGAATCCCCTAGGAGATAGATCGATCCACAGTTAGTGCGATAGGGTCTGGGAATGGTCCTGATACAACTGAGACACACCTTCACCTCTTGTTGAAATTTCTATAACAGTTATTATACACAAGTGTTTGCTTTAGTGTATTCTGTTTATTCAAATTAAACCAAATAATACTTTCACAACGTTTAATCTACTGTTAATGTTTAGTCTACTTAATGAAAAATGTTGAAGTTTGTAAGTGACATGTATACAAGATTTCTATTTATGCTCTTTCATAAACGGAGGGTATATAATGTTTATTATATTGTTTATTTATGTTTTTTATTTATGTTCGAATCCACAATCAATATTTGGTATCAACCAGTGATGGATTGGGGGTAGGTCACAGCGGCCACGTGACACTTCTTTCATTTATGGGATACCCCTTTCTCTCATTTGTCCCTGGCAAGATGAAATTTATCCAGCATTTTTCCAACCCAAGTGCCATAAAAAAACCATAAAATATGGCTGAATTTTTTCTGCAAATTTGCTGCAAACTAATTTATTAGCAATTGGCAAGAAACTGTTTGCAGATTGCCCCAAGAAGAATTATAGTTGCTGCAAATTTGCAGGAAGGTAAAAAGTTCCCATGAAGTTTGCGAGAGTCTTCAGACTTCAATTGCATGGTAAAAATTCTTGTTGCAAAAAAGTCCTTGATTCACCAGTGAAGATAAATCTTGTAGATATAAACTTTTATTTTTGCAGGTGATGGTGAACTGTACCTTGTATATTCGAAAACAAAGGAATAACAAGAAGCATATCAAGATCAACTTCTTTGGTCTGGAGTCAAGTGACCACTTACGGCTCAACAGAAGAAATAACCACAAATTTACGTTGCCTAGGAAATTACGACCGAATCTGTGGACAATGAATCACTGGAATGCTTACTGAAAAACAACGTATTTTCATACAAAATGTAATATTACAGAAACCAAAGGCCCTTGAGTAACCCGAATTGAAACAGGGGTGACTTTTAAATGCAGAACGGTCCAATGAAAAAGTGGAAAGCCATCACATTATAGGTCTCCACTGAAGCAGGAAGTTGCTGAACGCACAAAAATATTTGTTTGTGGAAAAACGCAATTGGTCGTTAGAAAGTTCCAATATTATAATAAGGAAGGCTGACAGTCAGTGTCGTTCAAAAGAACAACGCAACCGGTGTAGGAACAGTGGATAAAACGAAATTGGAGGAAGCTTTGCCGAAACTGTCCTATTATTCCCAAACAGATCACGTATGCAAATTTTGCAAATACAAAAGACTCTCGCTATTAGATGTAAGAGCGAGAGACAGTGGGCAAAAAGGGAACATTGTGCACTTTGTTTCCGTGACAATAATTGCATGAGGTTTTTGGAAATATTCTGCGGACATTTTTTCTAATCTTGGAAATTTTTGAATGATCACTGATGATCATGTACACGATTTTGCCTTGGTAAAATATATAATACCTCTGCGCTGATCAGCACGCTTAACTTAAACAAGGATATTCGACGAAAGTACTGACTCTTTTAGAAATGTTGAAGTTGGCCTCTGAAACTAATGGCACCGAGTCAGGCATGGAGGACGCGTGGCTCACTCTATCGGTGGAAGGTGAACCTAAAGGCCTGGAGGAGGACGCTCTCGAGCAGTCGACGTTCAACGAAGACTTGTGGCACAATTTATTAGACCAACTGAGTAAGGCGGAGATGTGTCGAATTAATTTTGAAGTTGAGCCTTATCCACCGACTGGTAAGTTGTTTTCCCCTCTTTATGTTTTCAAGCCAGATTTCATTCATATATTTTCAAGACTGCGTGCGCAAACGCAAATGAATAAACTAAACCGAATCGACAATTCCAATATGATAAATGATCCCGCTGTACTTAGTAAAAAGCAGATTACATTAAGTCTACAATCTCCATAGACTTTGGATATAAAGCAACCCAGGCGAAAAAAAACAGTTTAGCATAAAGCAGCCACAGTAAAAAAAAAAGTAAAAATACGCGAAATAAGCGTGCTAAGGGTCCCTTTCCTCTTCCAATTAAAAGGGTAAAATTAAATATTGGTACAGTTGTATGCTTATGTGCTTTGCTAAACGATTTAAAAATAGAAAGTCCAAGTACTATGCTACAGCTAAAGGCAAATTTATTCCAAGTTCAGCGATGGTTTATAATGGTGTAGACTTGACAGTGGTCCCCTTTTTAGCGTAACTTTGCTTCTTTTTTAAAAATATTTTGCGATTCTAAATCGTATATTCCCCAGAAGCTGTTTTAAATGGGCATTAGCTCGCTTGATTACACTTCCCTTATTTTGGTGCTTTTGGTGGTTTAGCACTCAAAAGGCAGTATGATATTTCCACGTTCTCTGAAATCCCACTCTTGCACCGTAGATTGAATATGGCGTGACGCAATTTGCTTAGGTTTACAAGTATCATATGGTGTCGCAAAATTGTTTTAATTTAGTTGCGTAAACATGGTGATCGGTTTACCGCCATGTTCAATTTAAAGGTCAGATGCAGGCATTTTTCTCCTGGTAGCACAAAGATTTACTTGGAATTCACGACCAGTTATAGGAAAAAATGTGATTTTGCACGAAAAGTGGACGTGATCGCGCTGTTTCACGTAACCTGTATAGTGCAACAATATATCATACAATTACAGGATTTAATTGAGACACACCGAGGTTAATATCCCTTTTCTGAAGCCTATAAAGTTACATTTTGACCGAAAAACTTTATTTTTTTTCTGTATAATTTAATATATAAATGTTAACGTCCTCCTAGATAACATGCAACACTGCGTTATCCTATAGATTTGTCTTCTGGTAAAAAAATATGGGCAGCAATTGTCTCCTTCTCTCCAATTAGCAAGAAATATTGTTTCATCATACCTAAAATTTACGAAATAAAAGATCATAATATATGCTTATTATAAAATATAATGTGTTATCATCTCATACACAATTAATCTGGTCGTTTTCATTCGAGGCTGAGCGACATTTTTGTGGAAAAAGTTTACAGCCTGATGTACTAGTAGGCACACTAGTGACTTGGTTTTCTTGCCGTCTTTGTTGGCTGTCCTGTAAGTTCTGTACTCTCTGCCCAGGGGGTGCGCTAGTCGCCTTTAATAAAATCATTGTACTTTAATTTTGTATACTATTTTAGATACCCCTGATATCAGATGATAAGCGCTCTGGATAAGTGTACCTTTTATAGAAAAGCGCAAATCCGCGTTCTAGCGTTTTGGCAATGTTTGGCAACATGCATGAGTTGTAAGCGGTTGGTGCAAGCTCATAGCACAGTAGAGGTTTGGGGATGGGGGACAGGCCTACACATAGAGTTACGAGCAGAGTTTGAAGATACATTGTTGGACGATTCGCTTCAGATCTTTATAAGTAGTGCTATTTTTCAAAGAAGTGAAAGAGCTACATATGCATATAAAAAGACCTATACATGTACAAGCAGTGAATCTACACAAAAAAGCTACCTAGTCCAATTTCATTGTTTTGTGAATTTCTGTCGGTCGTTCGCTAAATTTCATGCTCGATTGCTCACATGCCTATTTCTTATTTTAGTTCATTTACCTCTCTCTCTCTCTCTCTCTCTCTCTCTCTCTCTCTCTCTCTCTCACACACACACACACCTTTCTTTTCTCTCACCTACATGCACATGTACCTACCCAAACACATATCTCTCTCTCTCTCTCTCACACATACACACGCACACACACACACTCTCTCTCATTCTTCCCCCATTTTCCAGATCATGGTCAGGTATACTGTAACAGGAGTTGGAATGGCGCCACCTGCTGGCCCACAACCCTGGCCGGCCATTGGGCCACCGCCTTCTGTCCGCCCGAAGTGGAAGGAGTTTCGCTGGACGTTACACGTGAGTTTACGACAATGGCCACGTTCAGATTCAAACATCGTACCAGCTGGATCGATCCATATCTGTGGGGGATTCTTGCTAAAGTGCATTCAGTGTAATCAGCTTAATTGTCTGACACGCTTACCTGAGTAGCTAGTTAATTAATTAATTATCCCTTGGAACTCGAGGAGAAGTGTCACATTTAATCCGGTTACAATGATTGCACTTAGTGAGGTGGATGAATTTAGCTAGCACGATGGGTTTATCTGAACGCTCCTAATCACTCAACAAATTCGAATATAATTATGTCGATTATATTTCCTCGAACAATCCTTTATTAACAACGCAAAACCAGATTGATAGAAAATTTATTTTCAAATCCAAGTGAAGTGATACTAGAAACACACGACGACGAGAACAGAACTGAAGATTTACCTTGTGAAAAATAACAACAACGTCTTATTTAAGGCATGGAAAGGCATATTTCCTTTGTGGAAAATTATTTAAAGTATCTAGGCAAAGCAGAGCCTTAGTTCTAGGAGGGGCCTTTAATTTTTTACTTATTCCATAACACGCAAACGAGGCTACTGCATTGCTGCAAATAACTAGCAACAGGTTATGTCTAGGGCTATTACAGAGAAGGAAGAGGGGATGTTATTTTACTCTTTAACGATGTAGGGCTCTATTGAAGCAAGGGGGTTTTATATTTTCTCTAGTGTAAAAGGTGGGCGAGGCTATGATAAAACAGGGACGTATAGTTTAGGATAAATTATGATGTGAAATATGTTATTTTTTATGTTTAATTTTAGAAAATGCGACAAGATACTGTCATCCCAATGGAATGTGGAATGAAAAGTCTAACTACGACAACTGCACGCTGTTATCACACGTTGGAATAGAGAATTTAGAGGTAAATTCAATCTTTTAGATGTAAAGATAATCTTGATTTGTTGTATTATTGAAAAAAAGACAAATTTCCAAGAGTATTTTTCTCCAAAATTAATATATATGTAAAATTTTTAAAAAATTATAAACTTATCAGTAAGAAAAGTAATTTTTCGCCCAATGTGGGGCTCGAACCCACGACCCTGGGATTAAGAGTCCCATGCTCTACCGACTGAGCTAACCGGGCTGATGTGTGGCGATCCCATCACGCTTCGTCCGCGCTCGGATTATGTGAGCTTTAATACTTTAAGGTGGATCTAATTATTCATGCGTATAAGATAAGGATAATGATTGTGTTTGTGGACCACCAGCAAAGCTGACCGGTCTTTTGTAGTAACTTAATTGTGATGTTCCTATTCATATAACTGATTTTTTAATCGGAATATTAAATTCTACTTTTAGGAATTTGAAATGGTCAACCTGGCAGCAAGGATGATTTATTTTGTGGGGTTTAGCATATCCAGTTTAGCACTCATTTCGGCCTTGCTTATATTCTCATATTTCAGGTAAGGGTCTTCTTTCTTTCTTTTTTTCTTTTTTTTTTTCTTTTCTTTGAATTTTTTTTTTTCTTATGAAACATGGCTATCATAAATACACGTGCTTGTTGTTGAAATGCAGTTCCCTGGGAATTTTGAATGCAGCTGATTTAAAATGCGTGTATAACTAGCATGGTTAGTTTAGGACACACTTTTTTTGCTATCACTATTTTAATATTTTCTATTTTATCAAATGGAGTTCATGATTATGGTCCAGTTAATGCTTACCAAAATTTTTACTTAATTTACGAATATATTTATTTTATCCGATACAAGTTTACCAAAGCAAAATACCATAGTTCTTTTTAACGACATATCTCCACAAACAGTCTACTAAACGCCCATTTTTCGAAGACAAGTATGGAGTTGACAACATCTGAACATAAAAAAGTAGGTTCCCAAAACACATTTCTGAAAAGCGGGAAAGTTACTCGGAAAAAAAAGTTGACAAAAATTGGCTTGGTTTAGATTTAAACGTAGTCCAAAAATCGTTATCTGTACACAAAACTAAACATAGTGATGCTAACAAGATAGTCAACGGCCAACCTGGGCAAAACCTACATCAGAGTAAAAATTATCACTAGGTGGTCCAATGAAGTCTAATGTAAGTCGTTAACTACAAGTAACATACGCACCAGGCCCGTAGCCAGCAATTTCAAAGGGGGGGTTCTTTTTCTGAAAAAGTGGACCTTTTAACGAAAAATCCCCATGTACTTATGTCAAATTTTACCCAGAGTGGACCTTTTTCAGCACAAAAGGGGGGTTCTTTTGAACCCCCCGAACCCCCCCTGGCTACGGACCTGCGCACGTCCTAATGCTTTGCTGATGCACAAAAAACGATAATTAAGTTACGTATTATTTCATCTTTTCAGAAGTCTACACTGTCTCAGGAACACCATCCACTCTCATTTGATGGGTTCGTTTCTTCTCAGGATATTAGTCTGGGTAATGCTGCATTTCGTCACTCGTGCGGTGTTCTTAGAGCCGGATATTAAAGACGTATCGTCAGGGGTAAGTGTTTGTGTATGTGCGCGTGCCCGCTCGTTTGTGTTTATGTGTTTGAGTATGCGCGTGTTTCCGTGCGCGTGTATGTGCGTGTGTGTGCATGTTTATATGTGTTTGCTTGAGCTTTTGTGTGTGTTTGTTCATGAAAATGTTTGAGTTTGCGGGCGCGTATTTGTTTTTTTTTTTCTTGTTTGTTTGTTTATGTGCGTGTTTCCGTGTATGTGTGCGTGCGTGTGTACAAGTGTGTGCATGTTTAAGTGCACGTGTACTTTTAAATGATATATTGCCACAAAGTTCAAGAAAAAGATCTTCTGCTACATGTACCTTATAAAGCGAATACTAAAGGCACAGTCAAGCGCAGCTATTACACAAGAAACATGTTGCATAAAATATTTTCAAAAATATTTTTTATCATTTTGATTTTTTTAGCTGAACTGGTTCTGTAAAATCCTCACGGCTCTCTCCCACTACAGTACCATAGCTAACTTCTTCTGGATGTTAATGGAAGGGCTTTACCTTCATATTATGGTGTTCTGGGTGTACTCTGCCGAAAAGCTCAACATCTGGCTCTTCGCTATCATCGGTTGGGGTAAGTAGAGCCATCTCAGACAAAATGGATATGGTGTTATCTTTCAATTATAGATTTGAAATTAAAAAAAAAAAAAACTTATTTAACCAATGAATCCTGTCGTTTCGATGTTTACATTTTATACACTGTGCAATCGAACAAGACAGCATGTGCTTTATTTATTTATTTATTTATTTATTTATTTATTTATTTTACAGGCTGTCCTTGGTTCTTCGTAATTATATGGGCTATTGCCAAGTATAACAAACAAAACAAAGAGTAAGTATTAATGCATAGATTTTATAAATGTGAAGGGATTTTATGTCAAATATAGAAGCACGTATAGTGAAAAGAGACGCTCGGTAGATGCGAAGTAACGTCTCTGATATTGTTTAATACTGTTGATTTTGAATGAAGATTTCGAATTAAACTGTTTAGGTTAAAAAAAATTAAAATCTGATTAACTATACTTGTACCGGTACTGATTCTTTGATTTTCAGTATACATACATGTACGTATAAACGTACAATAGAATGATAATCACTTTCATAATTTTGGGGTTTTCAGTTGTTGGATTACCCTGCACGGCTCGAGTGATGCCTTGGACTTCATAATATATGCTCCAAACTTGACAGTTATAGGGGTAAGTGCTCTCTCTCTCTCTCTCACGCGCGCGCGCTCTCTCTCTCATGGCCTCTTTACTGCCCGTTTCTATTGCCTTCACTCTGCACCATCATTGTAAGTTCCAGTATCAGAATTAAATATATTTCTCATTTTTATTCTACTGAATCATTACTAATAAGATTCACTCAACATCACAGTATGGACTTATTTTGTTCCCCTTCAGGTGAACCTGGTATTTCTGTTTTCCATCATTTGGGTGCTTGTCTCCAAAATCAATTCTTCCCAAAACTTTGATGGGGGCCAATACACGTAAGTATCCATGATATCCGTTTTAGAAAATGTGTTTAATACCGTTGCCTTTTAAAGGAGTCGGTGATTAACTTACATTGTTGAGGAAAAACTCTTCCTTGTTTGCATTTGCCGCACAATAAATACCAACAGAGATAGATTTAAAGATCCAAATCTATTTTTTACACCGGACTTGCGATTCCTTGTGGCACAGGCTCGCACAAACAAATACTATCCATTCCCTGAATATTTTGCTTTTTCGGATAGATCAGTCAAAAAACTGATATCGAAATAATATGTATATACGTGACATGAAAGTAGTACCTTTAATCCTTTCTTGAGAAAAGGGGATTTGCCTTCACTTACAACCCACCAAAATTTGTTTTCTATAAAATCATGTATCCCTTTGTCTTTGAATCCCATTTAACTTAAACTTTTTTTNGTAATTTGCTAGTATTTTACAAGGTTCAGATTTTGAAGGCACTGACCAAAACTGCCTAGATGGGCAATACATGTAGAACTATTATGCAATCATCTTTGAATCAAGTGTCTTTACATTTCTTTAATAGTTTTCATGATTATCAATTTTTTTAAGCACAAAAATAAATTAATGTTTGAATATTGTTAGTGCAAAAAAAAAAAAAAAAAAAAAATTGACATTTTTTTTTTGCCATTTTAAAATGCTTTCCCTAACATTCAAAATTTAAGCCATGAGAGACAATTGCCAAATGCAAAAATTACATTTATTCTGAATAATATAGTAAAAACAGATAGTAACAATAAAACAAAACAAAAAAAAAAAAACATGATCACTATACTCAAAAGACAAACTTGTAACTAGCAAAACTCGTGTTTTAAAGGTACCTTGTACCCATGTTTAAAATATTTTCATGTACAATGGTTTGTGAGAACATAAATTTTGTTTTTCTCAAGGAAAAATACATTTGGTGCAAAATTCCTGCATTATATAGGAAACCTTTAACATTTTCAGTCAAGCGACATTTGTCAATTTAGAGGTTAAAAAAATTGATTTTTTGTTGTTGTTTCACAGAAACAATATCATATGGCACAAAATAGAAAAAAAAGTTTCACATTTTGAAACATAAAATTTAACATGTTGTCTTTGGTAAATGTGTAATATAAATATAACAAAGAAAATGTCTTAAGCATGCAAAGAAAGAATAGTAATTACGTAAGATGTTATGGTACCAGTTATGTCCATCCCACTTGATAAAATGATGCTTTTAATTACTTGTGGGGATTTTAATAACTGCACTGCTAAATAATATATACTTATCCCAGCAGGCACCTTTTTCTAAATGTTACCTGCACTTTTACTTCAGGAAGGCCTATTATCATGTCAATGACATTAAAGTTCACAATATGTTATTCATGAATGGCTTAAATTTAAGGATTTTAATTTAAGAGTGCAATCTTATAATTATTTAATAATTTGTTGTTTTTTATCTTTAATACTGTAAAACCACAACCATTAAGTTTTCACAACAATTTGAGAAATTTTTTCTTATTTGCAGAAAATCGTCTAACAAGGATCTTAGACTTATGGCCTCCATGTATGCCATAAGAATATGACCTTTACATTTCAAGAAATATAATTTAGATGGTCAATCACTGTCGGAAATGTTTGTGTTTACAACTTTATAAAATATTTACCAACCAGTACTTCTGGACTTTCATCATAACCCAAAGTTATGGATAATTCAAGTTAATGGGAATACAGGACCCATGCATTATTACATGTAACAGTGTATAAGCAATTTAACAGCACAAATCTTATCATCAAAAAGTTACTATCCCTGGACAAATATCAACCACATAAAGCCTACTGTCTGATATACAGAGTTAAAATATATGTAAATGTTACATAATAATGTCATCAAGCTGCAACAATAAACATGGAAGCACTTCAGCTGTGAATGATTAAAAAAAATACATGGCACATTTAATCCACTTCTTCAATGGTTGGTCCCTGGCCACCTTGACCCCCCTGAGCTTGACCCCCAGGAGCACCTCCACCGGGGGCGCCACCTGCACCCTCAGCTCCCTGGTACAGCTTGGTGATGATGGGGTTGCAGATCTTCTCCAGCTCCTTCTGTTTGTCTTCAAACTCTTCCTTCTCTGCCAGCTGAATTAGTAATTAAATTTATAAATAAATAAATTAATTAGCTGAAATACATAATTAAATTTATTAACTAATTATTTAACATCAAATGAACTTAAAACAACTGTCTCTCCTTATAATTTTTTCCCTTAATTTTAAAAGTGTTCCCTTCAGTAAACAAAATCTGAATTTCATCCAAAAAAGTGTTACCTTTTTTGTGGTAATGTGCATATTATTTCCAAATCAAAGTGAATATATGCCATGTGATACATGAAGTTATTATGTACCTGGTTACTGTCCAGCCAATCTATCACTTCTTTACATTTGTTGGTGATAGTGTCACGGTCGCTGTCACTAATCTTATCCTTCAGCTTTTCATCCTCCACTGTAGATTTCATGTTGAACGCGTAGCTTTCCAGGCCGTTCTTGGCGTGAATGCGATTGCGTTGTTTCTCGTCCTCGGCCTTGTACTGGTCAGCTTCGTTGACCATACGGTCAATTTCTTCCTTGCTCAGTCGACCTGGTAACAGATTAAACATGATCAAACTGAATGTTTTACTTCCATGTATATCTTTGTGTTTTGGGTTGATTTTTAAAAATGGACATCACAAATATAAAAAATCCTGTGATATTAATTTCAAGATCCTGTCTGGTGGGTCTTTGGAAGGAAACTGGAGCCCAATTGTTGAATATGTAAATAACTTGAACCATTTAAACAAGCTTCACTTTATTCTTACACTTCTCGCTGGGTTAAATTTGATTAAGTATATAACATATTTTGACTTGGCCAAGAAAACTGTAAAAAATCATTCATTTATCAGCAAAAATTTTCACCAATTTGGATGAAAATTTTATTTGCTTAACATTGCTGAGTTATTTTACTAAAAGAAATTTTATTCCAGAGTCTTTACAAAATAATTTTAAAAAAATAGAATAAGTTAAAAATCTGCACAGCAGTGACGCTAGAAAGTTTTTTTACAATACCTTTGTCATTTGTAATTGTAATCTTGTTCTCCTTTCCTGTGCTCTTGTCAGCAGCAGAGACATTCAAGATACCGTTGGCATCGATATCGAACGTGACCTCTATCTGAGGGACACCGCGAGGGGCGGGTGGAATACCCGTCAGCTCAAACTTGCCCAGCAAGTTGTTGTCTTTGGTCATAGCTCTCTCACCCTCGTACACCTGAAACACCCAAGTTTTTTTTTAATGCACTTACTCAAGCAGCAATTGGTTTTCAATTTTAGATATAATTTTACAATAGTACATTAAATTAAGGAAAAAGTAGTTTTTTTTTTCCTCTATCAACCAGTGTCATTACTTTTCCAACACATCAACAGCTATGGTCATTCAATCATTATCATCACAGTCACCATTTTCCTGGACACCAAGTTTTTGTTTAATTAAATAAATTTACCTACTTTTTTTTTCTTTTTCATTCTTTTTTTGATATATGATAGTTTTATGCCTATTACCCACAGTCAACAGCCCAGTGGTCAAGAGTGACCAGTACTGACCTGTATAAGCACACCAGGCTGGTTGTCAGCATATGTGGTGAACACCTGGGTCTGCTTGGTGGGGACAGTGGTGTTCCTCTTAATGAGAGCGGTCATCACCCCTCCAGCCGTTTCTATGCCCAGGGAAAGAGGGGCAACATCCAGCAGCAGCAGGTCCTGGACCTCGTCAGACTTGTCACCCGACAGAATGGCAGCCTGGACAGCTGGAATAGGTAAACAATTTGCACAATCATATTATATTAAGTAGAATAATCAAGAGAAGAAATGTGGTGTGCATGTGCAGGAGAAAAAGACCAAACTTTTTTGAAAATAAAAATTTGTAAATATAAAAGCCCATTTGAAACTGGCAATTATTAACATCATTTTGAGCAGCAATAGTGCAACATTTACCTGTGCATAAAAAGGAATTTCTATTTATACGGCAATGTAATTTTGACAAAAAAGGAATTCTATTTCCAAGTAATTCTCAAAAGAAAAAAAAAATTATTGTCAAGAATTTTGAAACCGTGAATACAAAAACTGAAATCTTAAAAAATCATTGCATTAACAGTTGCACAAGCTTAGTACCAACCTGCTCCGTAAGCCACAGCCTCGTCAGGGTTGATACTCTTGTTCAGTTCCTTGCCGTTGAAGAAATCCTGGAGCAGCTTCTGGATCCTGGGAATACGTGTGGAGCCGCCCACGAGAACAATCTCGTGAATCTGACCCTTGTCGAGCTTGGCATCCCTCAGGGACTTCTCGACAGGTTCCAGGGTGCCGCGGAAGAGATCAGCGCAGAGTTCCTCAAAGCGAGCACGAGTGATGTTGGTGTAGAAATCGATTCCTTCGAAGAGGGAATCGATTTCAATGCTCGCTTGAGTGCTGGAGGAAAGGGTTCGCTTGGCACGCTCGCAGGCTGTGCGTAGACGGCGCACAGCACGCTTGTTTTGTGTGATGTCTTTCTTGTTTTTACGCTTGAATTCAGAGATGAAGTGGTTGACCATTCTGTTGTCGAAATCTTCTCCTCCCAAGTGAGTATCACCAGATGTGGACTTGACCTCAAATATACCGTCCTCAATGGTCAAAATGGACACATCAAAAGTACCACCACCAAGATCAAAGATGAGGACATGCTTTTCTGCCCCAACCTGGAAAAACAATTAGTAAAACATTCTTAATTTCAATAAATCCTCACAATTCTTTAAACCAGTTCATGCAAAATAGGCCATCCTTGTTTCTAAATACGCTTAAATTTTCTAGAGCTCTTAAATGCTTACAAAAAGCTAATGAAATCAATGAGTATTGTGCTAGTTGTGCTAAGTCTCCGAATGTGCCACAAAAATCACCATGCACCATCAAGTTTTCACAGCCAACACACTCACCTTCTTGTCCAACCCATAAGCAATGGC